AAAAAAAAAAAAGATTTTTTAAGAGAAATTTAAAATTTTCCCCCTCCTGTAAAAAATCAATTTTTTTTTCGTAAAAATGTTGTTAGATCCAATAATCAAAATACTTTTTATTATTAAAAGTAATATTTTATCAATCATTTTATTATCAATTATATCATATGTAATAAATTATTATATTCAATATTTTACAAGACCATCAAAACTTCCAGGACCATTTCCTATACCAATATTTGGAAATTTATTTCAAATTGGAGAAGATCTTGTTGCAGCAGTTGATAAATTTCATGAAAAATATGGAGATTTATATGAATTTTATGTTGGAAATAAACGTAATGTTGTAATTAGTAGACCAGATTTAGCAGAAAAAGTATGGGGAGCCACAACAGTTAAAAATACCAAATTTATTATGCGTACTTCATATTCTGAAGGAGTTGATGAACTTGGTTTAGGTACAAAAGGAATGGTATTAAATAGAAATATTGAAACTTGGAATATTAATAGAAGATTTTTTATTCAATCAACTTCTTCCCCACAATTTTTACGTGAAGCTATAAATTTATCAAGTAAAATTAATGATGAAATTTTTAAATATTGGAAAATTATGGAAAAAGAAGGTTCAATAATAAAATTTTCTGATTGGATGAATGCTTTAGGTACTGATATTGTAGTTACAACAGCTACAGGTAAAAGAATGTCATCAACTGCTGATTTATTTAATAAATTAAATACTGAAGGAAAAAAATCTGAAATTAAAGGAACTTGGGAGAATGGTTTAATATTTACTGAATCAATTTATATTTATAATGAATCAATGATGTTTATGATGTTACTTCCACCTTTTATAAGAAGAAATATACCTGGTATTAAATCTATAAATAAAAAATTTTTAGATAATAGAGATTGGATAAATAATGAATTAGAAAAAATGGTTTATGAAAAAAGAAAAGAGATTGAAAAAACTCCTTTAAATCAACCTATTGAAGCTACTATATTAAATTTATTAATTACAACAAATACTGAAAGGGATTTAGAAAAGATAACTGTTGGTAAATTTGATAGACCTTTAACAGATGATGAAATAAGTTCAATATTACGTGAAGTATTTACAGGTGGTTTAGATACTACTTCAAATACTTTATCTTTTGTTACTTTTTATATTGCTAAAAATCGTGATGTTTATTTAAAAATGAGGGATGAAGTATTAAAAGTTTATGGTACATTAGAAAATCCTGATATTACTTTGGAATCTTTTGATAAACTTAAATATATTGAAGCTGTAATTAATGAAAGTATACGTATATTTCCAACTTTATCATTTATGGCTCGTGCTGCAATTGAAGATGTAGAATTTGATGGTTATGTTATTAAAGCTGATACAACAGTTTATACAAATTTAAAAGTTTTAAGTAATAATCCAAAATATTTTAAAGATCCTGAAATTTTTAATCCTGATAGATTTTTAAATGATAAAAATTCAATGGAAAAATATACTTTCTTACCTTTTGGTTATGGTGCTCGTATGTGTCCTGGTAGAATTTGGGCAATGGTACAAATGAAAACTTTCTTGGTTAAATTTGTTAGTACTTTTGATATTGAATTGGTTGATAAAGATTCTAATATCAAGTATAAATATGCTACTGCAAATCGTCCTGTGAATGTTGACCTTTATATTAAGACGAGAAAATAAGTATATAAAATTAGGTAATGAGGGTTAAAATTGAACATAGTTATTAATTATTATTATTTAAATTAGGGATTGGCGTTGATTTTTTATTATTATTTTATTGATTTGTATTTTATATTATTATAAATAATTTTTATTTGGTAACGGAGTATTTTATATATTATTAAATAAAAACTATGATTTCTTTTTCTTATATAAAATTTTATTATTTGGTACATTTTAATATAAAGATTTTATTATTTGGTACGAGTATTTTATTTAATAAACTATAATTCTTTTTTCATATAAAGATTTTATACTATAATTTCTTTTTTTTATATAGAAATTTTATTATTTGGTACGAGCGAGAAGAAAGATTCCCGATCGTTCCATTTTTTTTTTTTTTTTAATACTAAGCAAGTTACCAAGTACCAAAGTACCGTACCGTTCCGGCGTATCTGTCGTACCCGTACCAGGCTTACCCTTACCCGTATCAATTTTTTAAAAAAAAAAAAAAAAAATTTTTTTAAAAAAAATAACATCTAAATTCAATTCTAATATTACTAAGAAAAAAAAAATAAAATATTGTTTTAACTAACATTGCTAACTAACATTGCTAAATAATATCGCTAACTAATATCGCAATGTTAATTGATATTGCTAACTGATATTGTTAACTAATATTGTTAACTAATATTGTTAACTATAATATATTGTTAACTAATTATTACTATACTTTTCAACTTATTCTAAATATTTATCTAATCTAAAAAAAAAAAATTCTATAAACTATGTACTAAAATAACAACTATATATAAGAAAAAACTACATTCATTTTTTTTTTTTTTTTTTTTTTTTT